CCAGTTCATAGGTGATAGAATGCGTTAATTGTTAATTGCTGTACCATACCATACCGTACCATGCCCTACAGGTCAAGAAGGCATTCTACTCCAGGCAGAAAAATTATTTTTAAGTAGTACGAAGTAGTACGAGTACTATGTGACGTAGTAAAATCACGGTTAATTTTGAAGCCCAGTATTCAGTACTGATCATACATAGATCTACTAGTTTTTGGTCACTTTTTGACCGCAAACAGTGTAATAGGACATTTAGAACTGCTTGAGTAGTATGGCCTGAGAGCAGMKGTTCTTTGAGGGAAAGCCTCCTCATAGTGTTAGGAACAGTGACCTGTGTATTTGTTACATGATTGTAGGCCTAGGGGGAGTCAGTTCTCCATTAACAGCTGGTATGGCCCAAATTGGCCAGTTTGGTGAGACCAGCTGCTGGTTAGAAAATAGGCCAGAACTTTATCAAAAAACAACTTTAGAGGACCACCAGACTAACAAGCACCCAACAAACCAAGTTGATACAATTACTTAGAGATCCAGGTCATTGTGAAGCCAACGGAGGATGCTCTAGTGGCTTAGAACTAGTAGTCAGCCAAAGTTACAGTAGTGGGTGGTGACCAAAAATCAGTGTTAATTCTAGGTGTAATTTTATTACCGGTTAACTGGTATCATACCACATGTAATACATATTCCTGCAGAGCAAATTGGCTTGTTGCTAACGCAAATAGTTTCTACAATGCAAAAACTAATGATTAATTTTTGGTCTAGGTACTAATTTATTTGCAAAAAATGGGATAGTGGGTTTACATGTACTCTACAATAAAAACAAGTTTCTTTTTGTTTCTTTGGTAAGGCCAGGGCTGTGAGAATTCTTCTAGGTTACTGGCTACTGTGTACAAAAGATAGTGGTAATACAGTGCACTGTAGCCAACACCAAGTGAGAGAAGAGTGGAAAATTATTATGTAGGTTCATGTAAAAAAGAATAAAATAAGAGATACACAGTACAAAGTACGTAGAATCTGACAGGCGTGCTGTGCAAGCCAATTTCTGTACCCTGGGGCTTCTGACAACTGGAGAAAATTATACTCACAAAAATCAAGGCTTCAAGTACAATCTAAGAGCCCTATTACTACCTTACYAATGTACTAAAGTTATCTCACTCTTACTACCTTGTAGTACTAATAGAATGAGGATGCTATTCATACTAGGACTAAGAATACTAATGGTTGCTACTGGTGCTTATCAATCACTGCTACTAAAGAAGGATCCCATGTCAGCAAGTCATATACCATCATCTGTATCAGCAAGACTCCGTATCAGCAACTTGTATCACCAGCGACTTGTATCAGCAACCTCCATTTCAGCAACTTGTATCAGCATCCTCTGTATCAACACCATCCTGCATATCAACACCATCCTCCATATCAGCAATTTGTATCAGCAATTTGTATCAGCAATTTATATCAGCAATTTATATCAGCAATTCATATCAGCAATTCATATCAGTAACTTGTTTCAGCATCCTCAGTATCAGCATGCTCTGTGTCAACACCATCCTCCATATCAACACATTCTCTATATCAGCATCATCCATATTAGCACCCTCTGCATCAGTGAGCCTCTGTACCAGCATCCTCTGCATTCAGCAAGCCTCCATGTCCAGTAGCATCCATAGTATCTAGCAGCATCCTCCGTGAATCATCAGCATCCTCTGTACCAGCAACTCATTTCAGCATCCTCTGCATCAGCAACCCTCAATAGCAGCACCCTCAATATCAGTTGTATCAGTGAGCCTCCTTAGCAGCAGCATCCACGTCAGATCCACATCAGGGAGCTTCCACATCAGCAAGCCTCCATAGCATAATCATCAACTTGATGGATTCACACCACCAATACTGACGTACTCCTACTCCTTTTATTTCATAGTAGGCTGTAATTGTAGATTTGTAGATTAAAGATGGTTCAATACTAAAGGGAATAACAATGGGTTGATTGTTGATGTCCGATACTGTAACGGCTAGAAGCTGCTCATGGTGCTTGTAGTAGTACTAGGGCTTCTAAAAGAAAATCTTAAAATTATATTTAACCTCGTGAACTAGAAGAGGCACTAGGCACTATATATGGCCAGAACCATAGCTTTYGTTAGAAAGAATGCTTCTAGCTGCTCYGAGGGGCRGCGCCTCCCTCCRAGGAGGTTTTGTGGAGGCGCGACCAAGTCTTATGCACTCTGATAGGCCAACAAAGGCCCAAGGCTAGACTCAGAGGACATAAAAGCAGTTGGTTCACAGTTTGGATGGATGAGAACCATGCCATTATCATTTCAAAGGGGCACTGCCAAGCCCATAGGTTGGGGGTGCTCAAGCCCCAACCCGTACATTATCATTTCAAAGGGGCACTGCCAAGCCCGTAGGTTGGGGGTGCTCAATCCCCAACCTGTAGACCAGCACTGATGCAGTGATCAAGGAAATGTGTGCCATGCATACTGCCAAGCCAATTAAGGCAAGTCRACACCACAGTGGTCAAGGACACATGGAGTCAAAAAGAAAAAAAATCAAAAAAAGAAAAGCCAAAAAGAAAAAAGGAGTCGTTGTACTTCTTTTGCCAAATTACAGCTGAGCCCGCCCAAAGGAGCAGCTGTTTGAATATCTTCTCAAAGAAGACACTGRTAATAAATCCACTAACCCTGTCACTGCTGGTCAGGAGGTCAAATACTGGGGGTGTTGCTGTTTCTGTCTACCACATAAGACAGGAACAACAACAATCATGACCGGAAGCACTGGGGCTTCCGGTCCTTGAGAACTGGGAATGGATCCAGCGGAGGCAAACTGCACTCAACTGGGGAAATACTGGGGTTGGTGCTGTTGCTTTCCGGCACGTAGGTTGGAAACAACAGCAATTGTGACCAGAAAGCACTGAGCTTCCGGTCCTTGAGAACTGGGGATGGCTCCAGCTGAGGCAGAACTGCACTCAGCTGGAGAAATAGGACCRGGGTTGATACTGATAGAGTATCGGCTGGGGTGGGGGTGTTGTTATTGCATTCCGGCACGAATGTTGGAACCAACAACAACCTGACCRGAAAACTCTTCCGGTCCATGAAATACTGGAACTGCATGGAGATGCTGGGGATTCTTCTTTTAAAACTGAGTATCATGTAGCATATACTCCAGGCTTTGTTCTTCAAAGGATTGGAGTTGGTTGAATGGGGGCTGGGGTTGGTGTTATTGATTCCGGCACAAACGTCAGAAACAACAACAACCAGACCAGAAAACTCTTCCGGTCCGTGAAATACTGGAACTGCATGGAGATGCTGGGGAGTCTTCTTTAAAACTGAGTATGATGTAGCATATACTCCAGGCGTTGTACTTCACAGGATTGATCTTGGTTGAATACTGGGGGCTGGGGTTGGTGTTATTGATTCCGGAACAAATGTCAGAAACAACAACAACCAGACTGGAAAACTCCGGTCCGTGAAATACTGGAACTGCATGGAGATGCTGGGGAATCTTCTTTAAAACTGGATATGTTAGTATGTGTAGCATACACTCCAGGCTGTGTTCCTCAAAGGATTGGTCTTGGTTGAATACTGGGGGCTGGGGATGTTGTTGCTGTTGTCCGGCACGGATGCCGGAAACAACTTCAACCCGGAAGATACCATACGGTGCTTYTGGAGGGACAGGGGATGGATCCAGCTGGGGCAGAGTACCACCAGCTGAGGGATATCGATATACTTGGAATAGTCTTGGTTACATTGCTTGTTGCTGGTTGCTTCTTGAATGGAGCCAGGGAGGCGGATTTTCCCCCTCAGAAGGGGATGTCACCATGGTGTTCAGATGCCCGAAGGTGCTGTTCAAGTAGTGATAATTTTCATAAGCGAAGTGTAATTTCGTGCGTTTGAAAAAATTTGTTTTGAAAATTATTAGTACTAGGGCTTCTATGGTACAAGTTTCCCCTCTAAGCTTGCGCTACTGAGGATTACATTGTGTATCTTTTTGTCAGTGGTACTAAGGAGCATTATGCAATAAATTAGGGAAGAATTTAAAGTGCAATAGTATTATCTATTACTATTGAAAGCCATTGGACATGGTGATCATCTTGAGGTCYATCAGTCAATAACATTTGTTTGTTTACCATTTTAATTATTAGCACTACTAGTATGACCAACTGTGAAATTAACAGAGTGATCACACAATTGAACCAACTACGCACATTAACTATTTTTTTACTGCTATTTTTTTGTATATTTACTGGGTTTGTAACTTGTCCCACCCAAGGCAGTCTTTCTCTCATGGAATATTGGAAGATATACAACCATTACATCATGCTTTGTG